GGGGGGTTCTTGTTTGGTATTGGGTTTTTTTCTCTTTGATTTGTCGTTGGGTGTACTCTGACATTGGGGCGAATCACGCTGCTTGTCTCGGAGTTCCCTGTCGTATTCTGAATGAGTCTGCCTTTTCGTCTGTTTCTTTGTCTGTTTCTCTGTCTTTCAGTCTCTCTTTCTGTGTTTCGGTAAGTCTGTTTCTCAGCCTGTATATATTTTAATACTGTCTGTCTGCACGCCACCTCTCTTCATCTCTCACCCCCTCACGTTGCCTCTCGTTCTCTCTCTCTCCCCCCCTCTCTCTCTTTCTCTCTCTCTCTTTCTCTCTCTCTCTCTCTCTCTCTCCACCCCACCGACTTTCTTCCTCCCTCTCCTTGTCTCTCACTTTATCCCTCTCTGCGTTTCTATCTTTATACTCGTAGTCTACTCAAATAGATATACCCGACTCGCACTCTATGGAATGGGAGGGGAAGAGGAAGGTGGTGAGATGAAGAGGAAGAAGAACAGGAGGGAAATTGACATAAAGAATTGCTTTTCCATACCAGGAACCCAGAATAATGTTACACAAAACATTGCAAGTTGCACGTTCTAAAACTCAGAACGCAAGGGAAATAACCGTGGAAATGCTCTCCGTTTCATGTTACCTCCCCTCCTCAAATTTGAAGCCGCGATTGGAAGGGGGAATAACCGATCGGTATCAAAGTTGGTCATAACGAGGCTCTGTCATGGCATTGGCTCATTTCACGAGGTATTGCGCTCTTCTCGAGTTTGTGTTACAGTAAAACGAACACCGAAATGACTTATTGCTTTCGCTTCGAACTCGCTTGCCACAATCACGACATGGAACAACTGATTTCTCTGTCGCCGTGTGGCCTTATCGGTTGCAGACTTGGCTAACAAGCAAGTGAAGGTTGATGAGCGTTCCCTGTTTTGTTCAGGGAGCGTACGATATTTGGAGTTTTTATTTCTATCTTCTTTTATATCCTGCGAAAATTTCGAGTCCAACTCGATTTCTTTTAAATTCTCGATCTATTACGAAGTAAATATAATGTTTAGTTCAAGGTGTAACAGAAGAAGGTATTTCATAAACCTAACTCCTCCTGTCCTTCTTCCCA